GATACCACTTTGTCAGGTAACCGCTACTTGATAGGTTTATTTGAACGTCCAAAAACGGAAGCCAGTTTTCTCTCGGTTTCTCCCGGGTGAACTTTATGTACTCGGACTGCTCGTTCAATAATTCAAAGCATTTGTCCATCTCCTCCTGCGTAGAAAAGAAGACAAAACAATCATCTACATATCTGCAGTAGAGTAGTGGCCGGAGATCGAGAACAGGGGCTTCTATCTTTGACATAAACACAATGGCAAGGCTTGGTGCTAATCGCTCTCCCTCTGCCAACCTCCTTATTTGCGCGAAATATTTCCCAGACCATCTGAAAATCGAGCAGTTTAGGCACTCCTTTAAGAGAGCCATTAGTTGCTGGATGGACAAGCCATGCATATTTATTCTTCCTTCATGTTCAACAAGAAGTTCGAAGATGGCTTGCATTGCGGAGTCATTCGACACGTTGGTGTACAGTGCGGTAACGTCGAAAGACTCCATCACATACGCATTATTAGGAGACGCGTTACGTAGACGTTCTAGGAACATTTGGGTGTTTGTGAGGTGAACTGGAATGTGGTTAAGCAACTGGGTAAGTATCAGGCTTAAAAACCAGGTTATTCTATCCGTTGGCCCGTCTACACAGCTGATGATCGGTCTAACCTTAAATGATAACGAATTGGTTGACGCATGATCATCAGGTGATACCAACTTATGTGTTTTAATAAGGTGGTATAGGACGGGACATGTTGGTCTATCGATTTTAAAGTGTGAAATAACCGATGATTTAAATGAGCCAAAAACCCTACAATGAATAGCAGGGATGATTTCCCGGAGGTCATACGCGACCTATCCCGTATGTTCGCATCGGTTTTTGATGTGGAATGGTGCAGTCGTCAACCACATGCGTCAACACAGCTGTTCTAAACTTCCTCATTGGGAGTCACGAAAAAGCGGTGGGTTTTTCGAGAGGTTGTTGATCATGTAATTGCCAAAGAGTTTTTCGCCTTTTTGTAAGTGTTATTGAAGCGTTTGGCCTAGTAGATTGCATATCAGTATACCCTTCCAGGCTCTGAAGAAGGCGATACTGCCGAAACGTCAGCTAGTGTTGTATTGTATTGTGTTTCTCTATGGAAGTAAATGTATGCTGTTTAAAAATTTCGCGATTGCTGAACAAGAAAGCGAAACATCGTTATCCTTTCGAGGACTACATCTGTAGCAGAGATGATGACCAATGAGCTCAACTAAGCGGGAAGAAAGATCGGACTGCGAATAAATTGGAGGAAGACCAAATCCATGAAATATCCATAATGCGAAGACGAATAAATTAAAAAATAAATTAAGAATAGAAGAAGAGAGACGAAGAAATAAATTAAAAATAAAATCTCGCAAAGAAGCCACCAGCTAACTGAAGGACCCGAATTTCTGCGCCCAACTTCTCGATTCAACGGCGCTTCCAGCACCCTGTTATGCTGTTGAGACGTGGTGTGATACTTCATCCACCTCGAAGAATATTCCGCACTACTCACAGATCGCTTAAATAATGTCTTCCGCAATATAACCGGCACTCTCAATATCTAGCCGGAATGCTAGATCCAGGAGCGTGTAGATCGATAGCGAGACGCAGATGGACTGGTCACTTAATGAGAAGAACAGACGACAGGTGGACGAAAAGAACAGTAAAGTGAACTCCACGAGAATGCAAGCGTCCCTTAGGATGACTACCTACACGTTGTGCCGACGTGTTCGTAGCCAAAGTTAGTCAGCTGTACACGCAGCTGCAATTGTTTCACAGATCACGGAATGAGATTCGCACGCTCCACCATGTTCGAATAAAACAACTACCATGGACGCCGATTGCGATGGAAAGAAACGAATGGCGAATGTGTTGGGGGCCGCACAGCTCTCGTGAAGACGGACCGCCCAAGTATCCAAGAATCCGAGTATACTAGTGTCCATTGAACCACCTTAGTTGTAAGTTTTGCATACATCTTTCGTATGTTATTGCATTCTTATGTGAATATTACGTGTGTAACCGGTTTAGTTACCAAAGTTTGAGGTGTGGCGACTACTACGAAAAGACCTGCGTTTCAAATTCATCGTCACCACACACGCACACGACAAGCAACCCGTTGTTTGGAATCAAGAAGATCCGCTCCGTCTTCTCTACATTGTAGTTTTACTGCAGCTTCAACACTAACTAGGTCCAATCCCGAGTTGTGTTGCTCAGATCATTCTCGCTGACGAGTGTTTGGTGATGGCATCGTAAGGACGAAAGAAAGGCAAAGCAATGGTCTCGGTGGTACTGTCATCGTGTTTTTCCAATAAAAAGCAGTATTTACACATTTTAGCAGTGCCTTCGTACTTCGCCTAGCTAACCACTGCCATATTGAAGGTTATTGTGGTTGGAGGTCATGTTGATAAGCCCGTTATTCTTGCTGTTCTTCGTTGTTAATCTAGTGAATCATGTGGTGATCTGACATTGGGGCTATCGCCTTTGACTTTAATGTAGTAGGCGGAAATTTTATTATTGGAAATAATCCCGATCATTGTGGACTGACAATCATTGGATTGTGGTTGCGAGACTGAAAGCTTTCTCCTAACTGTTCTAAGGTATAAAATCTGCATTTGGGAAAGCACAATCCACAGTTCACTTGTACATGTTTACAAACATGGAGAATGTTAATCTCGTTCAGAAACTAGTTCAGAACACCAAGAACAGTTTGTACATTTTCTGAGTCCTTCTGCAGCTGATGGAAACCCATCAATATACACGTGCCTTACCAAAGGATCCAGTCTGTGTGGTTCCGGGGTCACGTGGGGTCCTTATACAGCGAAAAGAGAAGTGCTAACACAGGCCTAGAAGCGGGATTATAGCTCATGCTATAGTTGAGATATCTTTACTAGTTTGCTGCGAGATGGCCAGTCAAGATAGTTGTATTTATGGATCGGAAGGAACATTCCCACCATACGATGATATTTTCGTTAGGGGTAGGTTCCTAGGTTGGTTTACCATTGACTTGACTTGTTCATGGAATTCTCAACTTGTTGGTCGTAAATAACTTTTGAAGATGGACTACCACCCGTACGTGGTCGTTCCATGCCTTGGGATACCAATTCGCCAAGATGAAGAAGTAACATGCAATGCTATCAAAATATGTTAATGAATACATTATTGATTGGTCCAGAATAATCAGTCGTTTCTGTAACATTGTTTAAGTGCAGCTCTCTAGGATGCTGGACATTGTACTAAATTCGGTGGGCAAAGAGCTGAAGATGTTGAGTGGACCTGGGTAGCATGCAGAGCATTACCTTGCATTGAATGTCGTGGACGACGTCATTTCTTCAGAAGAACTCCATGTATCAAGTGCGTTATTTTGAAATCGTGGTTCCGGGTAATATTAACCGCTAATAGAGCATTAACTTGTTGTTTTTGCGGAACTGTGTGTAATGTGCTTTATGACTCTTACGACTTCTCTCTTTTCAGATATACGGGCCATCACTTTCTCTCCACCCTTTTGTACTCTATATTTCTTGGGCTTGTAGCGGTAGACAGATTTTGTCTCGGTTATTCGGCGATCGCGGTTGGTAAACTGATGACGCTAGGAGGCCTTGGAGTATGGTGGATTATTGATATTTTTCTTCTTGTCACTGGTAACCTTACACCTGCTGACGACTCTAATTGGGAACCTTTTTATTGAGTATTTAAATTTGTTCCAGGTTAAATATAATTGGATTTTAAGCCAAAAATTTTAACTGTGATTATTTCATTCTGTATATCATATGTCATTATTTATTGCTGTGACAATTAGCTAACGTACTTGATTGTTTGCAGGACTAGCTAGCAAGTGCTCATATTTTTCTAAAAACACGATGTTGTATATTGTTATATATTGTGTATTTTTGTATTCCTTATTATTATTCTTCAAGGGAAAACACTGGCCGGATATGAATGGAAATGAGCGAAAATAAATGCCACATTTTGCTTTGTTCAGACAGATGTAGATTAAACAAAATAAGAACCGATGATGAACGCATTTGCAACATGTACCTACTTTATGTAGTGTGGCAAAAATAACTTAGAATTCCGGATCTGGCGAATTTCGTAGAAGAGTTTACCCACTCCATGATAATGGACGACTTTTTCGCGCAGGAGGTTATGAGACATGGAGTTGTTGTCGGTTGGCCGAAGATTGGAGAACATGATGAAATGGTAGTTTCTAGAGCGACTGAGTTGTGGGAAATGATACCCATGTTGTACACATCGAACATGGTATTATGTTGTTTTATGTCAGCGAACTCGAGAAAGAATAAAAGCACTGTTCACCCACGCCGAAAATTCATTAATTTCGGTTTACAGAACTGTTGCATAGTTAGGTGTCAGGTGATTCAGTACAAAATGCTGCACAATCATTGTCTGCAGGGAAACAAATTGTTGTCATTGAACAATTACTCAGCAACCACTGTATGTAGAAGGAGAGGACATGCGAGGCTACTTCACTCGAGCGGTGCTCCACTAGATTCAGCTCAATGCGACTACGAAAACCCACATCACAAGAATGAATGGTTGTTGATAATCGGCTCGAATCATTCCGGCTCTGGAAAAAGGAAAGGCGCTGGAACCTTAGCCAAATAACGTCTTATAACAATTCCGTACTAGCTTATCAACAGAAGAAAAAAACTGCGAACCTGTAACTTAGGAATTCAATTTTCTATGTTACAGAACACGGCGCTGTATCGCAGTGATCAGATGCAACTCATAGTACATTTGGGATCGATTCCCGCGCACCAGGACTACCGAGCCTTCCTTCCCTCTGGAGTCGGCAATTCAGTGGCAGACTTGTCTGGGAGGATAGCAGCACTGGCACGACACGTCAGTAGGCCACCGCAAGTCATTGTAAAGGCCGTATATGCATCCATCCCGCTAACGATGCTTAATGAAGTCGAATCCATGGCGCATTCCTCATTGATCTATAAACGCGCCGAAAACTTTTTTAGCTCAAGGTTAGGGCGTGTCAAGTTAATTTGAGTTGATCGTTCGACGAAGTAGTAGTATCGGCCAGTGGTTGGAATCTTTTGTTTTGAAAGAGCTCGTGGAAATAGAGATCCACATTTTTTTATATTCATTTTCTAATTTTTATGGGTAGCTCAATCACAAGATAAGAGATGAGGGTGCGAAGTGGAAGGAAATGTAGGAAGGGAATAAAGTGTTGTACAAGGGATTCATCTCTGTATACCGCTTTGAGCGCAAGCTTTGCTTAAACGTCAAGATTCCACCGATCGAGCTGTTCATTTTCTGATTTGTCCGCTTTAGAGCGCTTTCGATAGTTGCTACGTTGAAGATGGTTCCGTTGCAGACTATTATTTCTCTTAGGCACTCTTTGTTTTTTTATGGATTTCAATCATTGTGGGTTAGCATGGCACACGGAAAATGCGAGAGAATGACATTTGTACGAAATGCATAATTTGCCTAAAACTGTGCGAAAATACTACATACAGTAACTTAAAAGGCGGACTTTTTTTCCTTTTTTATAGACCATCAAAAGCTGTTACTATTCCTGTGGTTCGGCTCGGACGAATTAAGACAGTGCGAAGACATCTAGATGGATCGGAAATTTAATGTCGGATTTGTAATTTGTTTTCTCTTGTACACTTTTCAACAACACCTTCCTTTTACTTTAGTTTCTCTTAGTTCCTACTGCTTATATAACTTGAATGGGTATTAAAGGGGTATAGCTTGTTGATTCGGCAATTCTGGGCTCTTTTAAGGGTCCCTAATCTGCTCAATTTAAACCCGGTACCAGTTTATCGACCTTGAGAGGATGGAGGCATTGGTGAATCTAAGGTGGAATTTCACCAGCTCCATGCACATATTGAACGGTCTCACTACCAGTGCTATACCCGCTTCCACCATTAATTTAACTTGTTCGAAAACAATTGAATGACAGAATAGAGCCAAAAACCAAGTAACAGAAAGAGACTGGTTTATTACGTCTCCCTTCATCCCTCATGCATAAGGAATGTGTTTTGTGGGGAACGTGCTTCGAACACCCTCCAACGTGTATATGGGAAGAAACTAGAAAGAACCACCCAGCATACCGTGGAAAATAGCGATTTCCCGTGGCTATAAAGCAGTACTGCACCGTAGAGGTCTGAAGGAGTAGCCACGCCCCCAAATGGTAGGTATGGCGAAGGTCAGTTACCGTTCAACTCGTCTTTTCTTTTTAACGAAATAATCTTGAGATGCAGAGAGGGACCGTGTCGAAATTGTAAAAGAATATGATCACCGTACATCAATCTGCAAAAATGAGACGAATACATACCCCTTAGCATTGCCATTTGCCTTCCGACGACGCGTGGCGCTCGCCGTCGAGTTTACTCATCGCTTTCTTTTGCTGCTTAATCGTCTCCTTTCACTACCTCTTTAACCTGCTTAGACTAGGCTAATGCTAAATAAATTCTGCCTCATGCATTATGGATATATTAGAAGTAACTGTCTCAAACACTTGAGCCGTTTCTAAGTACCCTACACTCCACAGAATCTTCTTCGTTATTACTAGACCATCGTCGCCGAAAACACACCTCCCTCTGATCCACATCGTGGTGAAGACCTGGATACGCCCTTGCAAGGTTACGTCAGAACTCCAGGGAGCGCCAAGTTGCACGACCAGCAATAGGCCAGCCTCAGTACCCCGCACACTGGGTGCTTCCGTCCATGACGTCAGGCGGTCAGACGACCGGTAAGAGGCCAGAAAATCTCGGGTTCCGCAGGACGTTATTGGAACCGGATCTGACGAACACACGCACGACATGCCATGGAGATTGTTTCTTACTATGCACGTAGAATGCCAGAACACTCTCCACAGACACCGATCTTCACGCCTTTCCTGTAGCCGCAGATCGCATTAAATTTCATGTGATCGCATAACAAGAAACAAAAAAAGAAAAATCAAGAAGAGCGACATACGCAAACTAAACAACGGGACCCTTGTGATCCGTGGAGAAAAGGTCCCGTCACGAAATGTCGGTGGCGTAGGCTTTGTCGTCCACCCGTCCATTGTCCATCTCGTCGAGTCATACGTGAACTTTTCCCCTCGCATAGCCGTCCTCCGTCTTCAACTGTCGCATCATAAGAAGATCACTATCAACAACTGCTACTCACCGACCGACGCAGCTGATGAGTACGAATTAAATGCGTTCTACTATCAGTTGGAGGAAGTCATCCGCAATGATAAAGCATCATAAATTTGTTGTTGAAGACATCCAAGCCAGAATAGGAAAAACTAACGAGAGCGAATACAGGATCGGAAATTTTGGATTAGGAGAAAGAAATGAGAACGGGAACCGTCTCGAAGGACTCCTGTCAGCAGCACGTCTCTTCCATGGAAACTCGTTTTTCCAGAAGAAAGAAAGCAGCCGCTGGACATGGGAGTCTCCCAACAGTATGACTCATGCAGAGATCGACCATATTCTGACAATCCGATCACCGCCCTCTTCGCGCGAAGATTCGATTCAGCCGCGAGCTGGAAAAGAACTCTCTTCATCGACCACGAGGAAAAAGTTTAGCTGTATACGACGATAACATTCTGAACGAAGTCCTGTCCAAAGGTGAGTGGCAGATTGAAGAAGACCCAACCAAAGACTATGAGCTGCTTGTCGAAGGACTGAAAGGTATGCAAAATTCGTCTCAGTTCCTCAAGCAAGAAGGTCATATTGCATCTCCAATACCACTAAGGAGTTGCTCGAAAAGATAAGGAAACTGAAGCTTGATCCTATTGCAACACGTTTAACATGGCTAGTAATAAATGCCAGATGCAGAAGAGCTTTGCAGGTAGATCAACGGTACAAGCAGAAGAAAATACTGGAAGTAGCAGAGAAAAGAAGCAGTCTGAAAAAATGTCGTCGGGACTTGTGTAATTCTAATGCTCCACTGTCAACCCTGATGAACGAAGATGGGATCGTCAAAACTTCCCGCCATGATATGGAATTAATAGCGGAAACGTTCTACACCAAAATTTTCCGTTCCACAATCCCTGTCTCGGGCTCTAATATCCCCGCTGGAGAAAAACCACCTGGAATTCTTCCGTCGGAGGTTCGAGTTGCGATAAAAAGCATGAAAAGAGGCGCAGCTCCAAGACCAGACAATGTCACCGCCCATTTCCTTAGAGCTGGAGACCCATCTACTTCTCGCAAAACATATAACAGACTACGTTCAAAAGAATAAATCCCAGACCAGTGGAGGACGTCGCGCACGGTTATCCTGCCCAAGAAAGGAGACCGAAGGGATCTTCGTAACTATCGTCCCACATGCTTGTTAAGTGTACTCTACAAGCTCTTCACGAAGATTGTCCTCTCGCCCATATCAAGGACATTGGATGAGGCGCAACCGGCCGAGCAGGCAGGATTTGAGAAAGGATTTTGCTGCATGGACCACATCCAAACTGTGTCTAGCATCATCGAAGGTTGTCGGGAATATCACTTGGGTCTAATCCTAACCTTTGTCGACTATGAGAAAGCGTTTGACAGTGTCGAAATGAATGCAATCCTATCAGCGGTCGTCGACCAAGGAGTGGACCCGTCCTACATAAGGACTCCGTCCGACTGTTATCGGAACTACACTAGGAAAATACAGCTTTTCCATCGACCTCTTACAATACTCATAGGAAAAGGGGTTCGACAGGGCGACGTAATATCGCCAAAG